AAAAAAAAAAAAAAAAAAAAGTGGGGGAGAAGCTCCCACTGTGAATAAATTGTATTTCACTGGGCTATGATCCCTGCATTTAACCGAATCGTTATTTCTGTTTCTAGTACAACAGAAATTAAATTCATCAACTACTAGACAGAAAACTATGGGTAGTGTGCCGTGAACACCACACCATGGGAACCGTCATCAGCGGGCCACATTACTCACATCATACAAGTAATACCAGTATCGACTGATGGCATGTAGAACTCTTAAAAGAAGAATCACATCTAATGACGGGTCTTCAAAAGTTATATTTTCAGGTGGCGTGGATATGAGGTAAACTTCTAAAGGATTTGATACCGATGGGCACACTCCATCTAGAGGGCAAAAGATCAAAGTTAAGTTTGATCAAGGTTACAAAGGCTATGCCAGTGGCACTGGTGTCACCTTATCACACCTAAAATAGTAAGCACAAGCTGTGAAGATGTAATGTTTGGTATCTTATTAGGGTATTGATAGCTTGAACATTTTTTCCCTCTTATCTTATACCAAAATCATCCAGGCTTATAAGAATTTCACTTGCCTCCCATATCAAAATAAACACTGACTGACTCATACGCATTTCCTCTTTCAACAGAAACAACAGCTAATAATAAAATAGCTGGGAAAGAATAAAGACAAAAGGACAAAATGTGTAAATTTAAATTCACAGATATAAATTTCTTGGATTTTTAATTTTTATATCCAGCTTAAAATGGCCATGTAAAATAGACAAACACTCCCAATTGTAAATCTATAAGAGATTTGGTTATTTAATTCGAGGCTTAGGATAGAAAAGACTGTGATGATTTCTGAGGGGATCTAGGATGCTTTTCTTCTTAGATTTCACTTAGTAGCAGCATGGTGGGGAAGGGGGTTGTGGGGGTGTGGACTGTTGCCATTTACTTGGTTACCATGCACAGGAATCAAAATCACAACATTATCACTACAGAAAACAAAGGGCAATTTCTAACACCAAAAACACAGAAATAAAAATTTCAAAATATAAACCTTTTAAAAAAGAACCTAGTTGTGGGGGAGGATGCGGGGGAGAGAACCACAGCAACAACGAACCCCAAAAATATTTGTTACAATGTCCTTATTTCTGAGGACCAGAAAAATTTTCAGCAATTGACACCATTTAGTTTGGAAATCCCTGATAGGGATGGTCTCTGTGCAATGACCCTGCAGCCAATGCCCCGAGGCACTGCCACTACCACAGAAAAAACGTGGGGGGGGGTGTGTGAACGAGCACAGGTAGACTGGAAAGAAATACTACAAAAGAAAAGAGCTCAGACTGGGAGATGCTACTCCATTCAGTAGTCATCGTATTACCTGGCAAAACTTTTCATTTCTTCTAGAACTGTTAGAGTACAATAAATGATGAAAATGAAGGGCCTGCCTGACCACGATCAGTCTCTTCTTCAGTAAATGTGCTCTTACTAATGAAATGTGTTTTAGCCTTCATGAAAACAAATTTTTCATGGAAAGAGTATCTGAGTCTTTTCCAATTTTCTTTCCAAATTTAATTTTGCAGATACTTAATTTTTCATTTGTGGTAATTTTGTATTTTCTAAATTATAAAGATTTGACTGCTAGGTATACATCAGGACAAGAAGTCTACTGCCCCATGGCGATGGGTCTTCCCGTCCCTTGCACGAACTTACCGTGCCATAACTCATCATGCTTTTTTGCATTTCTGGGGGATGTTTTTGTTGGAGCTGTTTGGGCTCTTCCTCTTTTACCACCAACACAATCTTTATTACTTTCTTCATCCTCTCGCACGGGTTTGTACCTAAATCGATTGGAGAGTACGTAAACTAAATGTAGATCTTAAGAATAAAAACTGTTCTACAGGGGCCAAAGGGTGACCCACAGACACTGGAGTTTCTAGAACTCTAAGATCTATCCAGTTTCTCTTGACTTCTGGGTCTGGAGAATTACCAACGGCACCGCTTCCAAAAAGAGACCACAAATAGACCACATTCCCAGGAGGGGCCCCCTGAGGAACTCCGGGGGTGGTCCAGGGGAGAACAGATCTCTTTAAATGTAAGCAGCAGACATTCATTCACAATGTGGGAAGCTGCATCCAAGTGCCTCTAAGGGCTTAAAGATGCCAAGCTGCTCATCACCCAAAGGAACTTCATCTTATGGAGATGTTTCTGTCTTATTTAAAGATCTGAAATGAATCTAAAAAGGTGACGTAAGCTAGGATTACTGCCCTTGAACAAACACGTTTTCTAGTAGACGTAACGAAGGTAAGCACACACATACGTATGTGCATGCGTGTAGGCATTCATGCAAAAAGTATGTGAAGTGGCTTTTGATAATAAAATGTAGGATTTGGGTCTCCTCCCCTTACTTAGGCCAGCCATTCATATGAATTCCCAAAACACACAAACAGTAACAAAGCTGATGAAAACCGAACGAAGTCATTTTACTTGCCATATTGTATGAGTCTTTGTCCAAATACCAGCTCTTCCCAGAGGATTGCTCTCATCGTCTGTGGACTCCCTTTCATCTTCAGCCTGTATACTGAACTGTCGGACTGCCTGATACACAGTCATGTTATACGGGAGCAAGTGTTCTCCAATGTAAAACTGTAGCCGGTGTCTCACATTTCCTGAATTTAAGAACTGAGCAGCCTAAATGAAGCAAAAGAAAATCCAGTTAAGCTACAGGCCCTGAACTTCATCCATTACAACATGGTGAGAACAGCACCTTACCAGAGACTCGTCTATTTCCTCATCAGAGCCATCATCATCACTGTCTTCATCATCTTCTCTTACTCTTCCATACCCTAAGGATGCAAGAAGGCTGTTAAATTTCTAGCAACTTTACATGCCAGGGCCCACATATACCGGTTAAACTAATATGCTCTTAGAAAAACACGTGTATACTACACCTTGACCTATGAAACAGAAGGATTCAAGAAAACGGTCACATACCAAATGCCATTCCCACTACATCACATTCCAGCTGACTGTAAGCAGTCAGCTCCTAGGAAATTTACCACATTTCCACATACTACGTATTAAATAAATGATGGGAAGCCGAGTTCCTGAAGCTAGGTTTGAACAGAAGTAGTAATACAAGGGAAATCATTTATATATCCCTCAATATTCCCAGCCCACATGTACGTATGGAAACAAAACACACATATAGGGAAAGTACCTCTGACCACAAGGTATCTCTCGATAGCTTGTACCAAAGCCAGGGGATCAATCTTGACAGGCCCACCCTTCCACTGTTTCACATTTGCACAGTCTGGATGTCTTTGTAACTGGCATTTTAACTGATGGGTGTTGAAAAATTTTAAAGCCTGTGATCCTCTGTTGAGAGAAAAGCTCAAGATAATTTATGAAAAAAAGTTATTCTATTATTTTCAAAATCAACATAATAATTCACACAAAAGCAAGATAATACAAACTGCATTTTTTAAGGCACAAAATAAGCACTTACTTACCAGTTATGTAAATAGTGAAGTCAGCAATTTGACTTACTTAGTAAAGTTGTTAAAGTAAGAAATAAAAGAGGGTGTGTATGCACGCATATGAGAACATTAAATCATCATTCTCTGTCCTACCATAAATCCAAGCGGGCAGAAATCCCTCCCCACCGAGATTTAGCCATTTCTCTAGAATAAACATTCCGCAACCACTGTGCATGCTCACTTCCGCAGTATTTCGCCACTGCCTAACTAAATTCTATGGATTTAAAAACAAAAGAAAAAGCCCTCTTTTTTGCTTTCAAATGCTTCTGCTACAAAATTACTTTAAAAACTACCCTTTACAATTTACTTCACTATATTCTTTTGAATGAAGCAGTTCAAGAGCTACACCAGTCTGACCCTGGAAATGAGAATTAATCGCTCATTTCTGAAAAAGGGCTGACAACATCAAGACACAGGCAGGCTTAAAATGCAGTTCTCTTTAAGATTCCAGAAGGCATGCAAACTGGGGTATTGGAGAGGAATATTGCATTAAACGGATACATATGTAAACATACACACTTTACACAAATCTGGGTGAAAATGAAAAACGTCATGGTTTTCTCAGGCATAGATGAGATGCCCCCTTGTTTCATAAAATCCTCCAGTAGGATGATTAAAACCGAATACCACTTTCTATATTAATTTTCAAAGCCAGAAAAAGCTCTAGCCCACACTGCTCCCTCCATCTGATCCAGTAATGCATATTGTTTTAATTCAATCACAAATTTAAATGCTTTCAAAATACATCAGACTGTGTATTTTTAAACCAAACTGATCTCAGGGGCACCTGGGGAGCTCAGTTCTTAAGCGTCCGACTCTTGCTTTTTGGCTCCGGTCGTGATCTCACAGTTCCTGAGATGGAGTCCCGTATGGGGCCTGCACTGGTAGCACGGAGCCTGCTTGAGATTCTGTCTCCCTCTGGCCCTACCCTGCGCACACATGTTCGCACTCTCTCGCAAAATAAATAAACTCAAAACAACCAAACTAATTTCTTATTTTGTATGCTTCCAGTCATGACATTCTAGAAACCTTGTAACATTCCATAAAATACAATAATGAACCTTTACAGTGAATTCTTTCTGTAGCACTTCATGAGTCCAGTAAAAGTACTATATTATAGAAAAAAATAGAAAGTTTTATTAAAACAAGAAAACTTCAAAATAAACTTATTTGTTAAAACCCATCAAAGGTATAATCACATCACACAGGGAATCCCAATCCTGCACAGAATGCAAATATTTTATCATCCATGCCTGTAAAATTCACGGAGAAGCATTCTAGCTAGATTAAAGTAATGGAACACTAAGCTTATTACAGGTTGCCAACACAGTCATTGGGTTATAGATTTCCAAAACGCCATGTTTAAAAAACACAAGGGGTGGATTTTAAATATAAAAAGTATTTTTCTTTAGCCATTACAACCAAATGGTCTTTGGGCAGATGAAGATATTACCAGACCTCTTGCCACTTTACCTCAACAAAATTAAGCACAAAGTCCAATGGCAAGGGCACACCCAAGCCATGATTCTTACCTGCCTCCTGTCCCATTCCCACTGGGGAAGTCATGTACTTTGACTGGAAACTGTTCCATCTGGCTGAGGCAGTTGTTCATCTTGTGAACTAATGCCAACAAAGGTGCATTACCCACTGGTTCTACTCTTCCAATGGGCTCTTCTCCAGGAAGCTGAAGTTATAAATAAACCAATCGGTTAAGCAAGGCCTCCTGAAAATGGAACACTGCTCAACAAGAAAATTTAACAGGCAGTTTTGCAGAAGAGAACCATTCATTTATTCTCTTTTATCTCTTGATACATTTGGTTGGAATGGTTACTTCCAAATAAATTATTTCAAAATAGAGACGCTTTTCGTGCAGGTCCACAATCCTTTATTCCTAGTTCCTAGGTCCAAAGGGCTTGAAAACACAACTTGTGTGGTGGTGAAACCTGACCCAGACACAAGGCTATCTGCAGTCTTTACGTTTATTTAGTAGGAATATTCACATGCTTTGCTGCAAAAACACTTAATATGTGTGGAGTGTTATTTATCCACTGGGGATATCAGGTAATATCTATGTACTGTATTGAAGAACTTGTGAAAACCATCCAGCCCCAAGGAGTTTCAGGTAAGAGATTACATATCTACCTGTACATAATCTTAGGCATAGTATAAAACCACATCCAGTATTGCTACACATCTAATGCATCTCTAACAAATACCAACTCTGCTTCAGGTAGCTCAAGTTAAAACAATACAAGAGGGGTGCCTGGGTGGCTCAGTCAGTTAAGTGGCAAACTCTTCATTTAGGCTCAAGTTATGATCCCAGGGTGGTGAGATGGAGCCCCACATTGGGGTCCATGCTGGGCATGGAGACTGCTTGAGCTTCTCTTTCTCCCCCCTCTCTGCCCCTCCCCCTGCTCCCTCGCGCTCTCTCTCTCAAAACTAACAACTAAATTAAAAAATTAAAATTTGAAAAAATAAAACAAGAAATGCTCAAAATGACTACAAACACTGAAAGGAAGGCATAGTGAAGTAGTTTCCACTAACACACAGAATCATCCTTAGCCCTACTACACAGAAGATCCAGAGACATCTCCAGGGATGCCTTATCTCAAGTAGTTGTCAACAAGTAGAATGATGTTAAGTCAATATTGTCCAAGAATAGGTACATTCTTGCTCTTACCCACTGAGGCTGAAGGTAGGGGAGCCTCTTTGTGGCCTCTGCTCTTGTAATCCAGATTGTAAGTGGTGACTAAGTACTCTCGAATACAACTGTTAATACTGTATTTTATATGCAAAATGGAAATGTCCACTCTATCTTACGTCTATAGCTATGTTTACTGTATTTCCACTACAGTATGTTTAAAAACAAATATTGAGCATAAACACATTCACAAGTGAGGGACTACTATTAACGACTGGGCTTACAGGAAAAACAAAGACTCAGGATAACACGGATCATAAAAACTGTGGCACTTGCACCATTAAATCACCATGCTGTTGCTTTACTAGTGTATGTGATCTATAAAAGACCAAGGACTCCAACTGTGTATCAGAAGCTAGAAGCTTTACCTGAGTATCTCGACCAGCACCTAATGGAAATCACGGAGATGAAAATACACACATTAGTGAGCAAAGATTTCCGTAATAACATACACAAGCATTATAGACAACTTACTGGTGAAGAAAAGAATACATGAAGGAATCTCTTTAATCTGATCTCTCTGCTCACAGCATCCTTTTCACTTTTAGATGTCAAATAAAGCAACAGCTGCTTCACGAATCCACTATGCTGGATTTCAAATGATGAAACGTCTGACTCTGAGACTATGCTACGGATTTCTACAAGGCACTCAGCTCCACCATCCACCTGCAAGAGTTGGGAAGAGTATTTCTATGTTGATTTAAACAGTCCTTACTAAATGCACAATTTACACTTCCCCCAAAGGAACAGAATACATTCTCAACACCTTTAAAAAAGAAGGCAGGGGAAGTGATGCATTCTTGGTAGATCCTTGGAAAATACGATCTTAACCGGCATCCACACTACTAACATAGAAAAGTCTCACACCCAACCGATGTAAAACAAACAAAATAAATAAAGACAAACAACGAGAATATAAATTGAGGGGTAAAGAGAACACCAGAAGGAGAAGATGAAAACAGAATATGAAGTGTGGCTTTAAATTAATACATTTAAAACCTAGATGAAATGGACAATTTCTTGCAAAACATGTACTACTCAAATTGCTCAAGGTGCACAAAAAAATGTAAAAAGGCTAAGAATCAGACGAAATTTAAACAGTTTATTCAACCTCCCTCTTCAACTACTATGAGACCCAGTTAGGTTAGGGAGGGTCCCATCCACTCTAATACCCAGAGTTGAGGAGATATACTCAAGGGACATTTCTCGAGTCTCTTCTTTTGTCAAGAAATACGAGTTGTGAAGAGAACAAAGTCAAGGAAGAGATTTCCCAGTACCGTTAATGATAAAATGATGAAGCACGAAAGTCAAGGGACTCGTTACAGAAACGTCAGTGCTAGAGGTACACGTCTAGCTAAAAAGTTGATCTAGGACAGCAAATCCGTGGAAAGCCAGAGAGTCATCAAGGGAGGAACAGGAAGACAGAAGAGATGCCAAAAGAGACTGTGAAGGACCAGCAAAGTGCACCCAACGCGGTACCTGGAGGTTGAGTTGTTCGGTCGCAGCACAAAGTCTCTGAAGGACATTCAGTGCAGGGTTGCTTCCATCCATGTTCTCAGAACTGAAGTAACGTTCTACAAATTTATGCGCTTGTTCCTTAATCCAACCTTTAATTTTTTCTCTGCACAAAGGAAAAACAAGATATTAAATTTAGTCTCAGTGTACAAAAAGGATTTCGACTGTAACTACCCAAAGGCAAACTGCTGCTACGTTTTTAAAAAACCCTTTTGGGCCTATGCTTATAAATTCATGAACTCAGATTCCATATTAACCAAATTTAAGTGTCATTTTGAAAATGGGTTAAGGTGTACTAGAGAAATGCACAGGTACTTAAAATATATTTCAGGTCATTACATGAAACATATACAAAAAGTTCTAACTCCCTGGAACTCTACCACATTAATAGTTTCCTTCCTAACTATTCGCCTGATAACAACTTGACATGACTGTTTCATTGGGTACAGACACACTTGCTTTGTCCTTTATTTGTGTTCCTTGGAGAGGTGAGGTAAAGAACTATAGACCAGAAACATGCACCTGTTAGATGTACAATTAACTGAAACCTCGCTGCTTAAATTACAAATTCTGATGGCTTTAGAAATACACGTGCTTAATTATTATTAAATGAAATTGAGAAAAACAATAACCAACGCAACCAATCAACCAAACAAAAAGAGCCTGTTTCTTTGCCAGTGGAATCTGATTTTTAAAAATTTCTTGGTTGCAGAGGAAATAATCCATGTTGGCGTGCTACATCCAGAGTCAAAAGAACAACTCTAGAGGGTTTTTAAGAAATAATTGTTAATAGCCACAAATTGGTGTGTGAAACAGTTTAGCTGATACAGTTCTAAATTTCTTAAGAACAACCAACTGACCTCTACTCTAAGATCTTTAAGTCCTAATGTAAAGGGTAGAGGAAGGGGATCTGAGACGCAGGTGAGTGTGTGTGCGTGTCTGTGTGTGCATGCAGAAAATGCCAGCTTTTACTTGTCTAGAATAAAACTGAGGAACAGGTTCCACAGGGAGAATTTATTTGGTTTTGAACGTCTACAACTCCCAACGAGAAATGTTGAAATATGTTTTAAGATGTAAGATTGAAATTCAGGACAAAGCCAGGCACGGAGTTCAAGAACTGAGAAATCTATTTCATCTTTGAGCAATACCACTACTGAGCATAAATTAAAGGTCTGTGTCCATGTTTCATCTCCATACAATACACGTGCTGACTGAAATAATGCTCAGTTTTGCTAATCCCAAGCACAGAAGCAATAGATGATTCCCCCACTTCACCTATTATTGGAGATGGTGTCCTTTGAGGCAGCCCTGGCAAGACCACTGACTCCCGCGGTTCGTGCTGGTTCAATGTTGTTGCTGTTGGACTGTGCGCTTAACCTTCCCCACGTTTTTGGATTCAAGCTTGCCAGGAAAGAAGATTTAGGTGACTGAGTAGTGGTGGGGCTTTTAGCTATGAGAAGAAAAGGGAATGATGGTTACACCACTTTAGCGTAACTGATGAAAACCAACTGAAATTTAACATTCCTGTTCTTATGAGATGAATTAGCTGAAACAACTTAGAACACGGAGTAAACTCAGGTGTACTTCAAAGCTATCAGCAGCTTTCGTGAGATTCGTGTCTCTAACTGGTACCATCTTTCCCTCTGCCTTCCACCCCCACAGTGTCACCAAAGGAATTACCTTGATTGTCTACTTTGTCATCATCTCTTGGAGGTGAATACTTTGGCCTTCTTGGCCCTCGTTTTGGCAGTCGCTTTCTCTTTAGAACATCGCTTAATCGACTATCACATGAGAAAATATGGGAGAAGTTTAGCAATTACCACGATTTATTATCACTCACTGAAAAGCAAGCTAAAATGGCAGAAACAAGGAGCTGTAAAATACTGCCATAACGGTATTTTTCATTCAGTGATTACCTATTTAATGCAGACTCTGCTCCAGTCATGATCTAAGAGGTATAGAGACACAGAAGATGATGCATTCAGAAAAAGCTATTTGACTATACTGAGCTACTAAAAGTAAAACCAAATAGACTATTTGAATAATCCTGTGGTAAACTCTTACTATAAAATGTTGTACACGTACAGAAAAGTACATAAAACAAATTTACAATGCAAAAACAAAAATTTAAAAAGACCTACGCTATCAAACTAGAAATAGAATGTTAAATCTGATTACCGTATTTCTTCCCTAACCTAAATGACAAGAAGTAACACTCATGACATTGAGTGTTAATATTATCAAAATGCTTTCCTGACACTGCCCAAAGTAATTTCACGGTATACAACTGCCATAACATCCTAAATTAATTCATTTATAAATAGTTTAGGGATTTAAAAAAAAAAAAAAAAAACCTCAAAATTACCTATAAACAGATCAAATCATAGTATGAATAACCTATTCTGAATTAGAATACCTGAAATAGAACATACGTAGCCTGTCTTATTTTCACTATTCCTAACAGTAGAAATAGTTTGAAATTATCAAATGATTCTTAGAATAACAAAACCATGTAAGATAGATAATATGGAAAAAATGTTCTGGTTCAGTTGGTCTGTGACCCACAATAAAATTAGAAAAATTTGAAAAAGTTTTAAAGTTCTTCCAATATCTGATGTCTATTAAAAACACTAATGTGTTTGGGGAGCCTGGGTGATCAGTTGGTTAAGCGTCCAACTTTGGCTTAGGTCATGATCTCACAGCTTATGGGTTCGACCCCTGCATCGGGCTCTGTGTTGACAGCTCAGAGTCTTGAGCCTGCTTCTGATTCTGTGTTTCCCTCTATCTCTGTACCTCCCTTGCTCATGCTCTGTCTCTCTCTCTCAAAAATAAACATTAAAAAAAAAAAAAAAAAAAAAAAAAAAAAAAAAAAACAACAACAGTAATGTGTTTATGCTTGAGAAGCAAAATGAGTGAACGTCCAGATATGTATGGGTAAAAAATTCCCCCTTTACAAATTTATATGAACTTTTCATTAGAAACCATATTAAAAAGAAATGGAACCACTTAAAACTCCAAAAGGTTCTTTCTGTTTTGTTTTGGTTTTGTTTTTTTAGAATTTTCAATTATTAGACTATAATCAAGTCTAATCCTTCAGTGGCTCAGAAACAGCGTCTGTCTCTGAGCTGCATCACATCTCACCAAGCGCCTGCTGTCTAGGGCACCATGCCTGCGGTAGCGGAAGTTACTACAGCAGCCAGGGGGAAGGGATGGGGCTGGAAAGGAAGGAAGAAGAGAGGCAGGCGGACAAATCCAACCGGAGAACAGAGAAGGTGGAGGGTCTCCAGTATTGTTCAGGCCCAGTCTCACAGGGCTGGATCCATGACACAGGCACCACCCAAACCTAGAAGTTTCCTAAAATAACAGCCACTGTGTCAGAAGTCCCAGCGGGTAGCCCAAGTCCAAATGCCAAAATTCATACTTAAGCTAGAGTGGATAACTGCCACCAGGTGGCACCAAAAGGAGCTGGATCCTCAGCTGGCCAGCTTCTTAGAACAATGCTACCTTGCAGTTCACAGAGGTTCAATTTTTGGACCTCAATTATTGACTATATGTTTCACCCAGATCCACATTACAACTTAAAAGGAGTAAAAAGGAATATTACACGGAGTACACTCTGAATTCCAGAACCGAGTCTGGTTGATCATGCACCATTCTTACAGCCATATTGTTTCTGATGTCAAAGAAACAAAAACACTTTAGAGTATAATTTGTTTTAACCCAACAAAATGAAAGCTAACATGAGGGTTTGGTGGCGATGTTCTCAGTAGCGCAGTACAACAAGGGGATTAAAAACAGATAAAGAGGTGGAAGCAGACACACTTAAGAACTCCCATTTTCCTTTATTAAGAGCAAAGTCCTCATTGGCCAATGGAAGATAAATGGGAAGTCAGGTTTTTTCCTGTACGTTCTAAAAACTCTAATTTTTATATTTTTCATATGTCACTACTTGGATGTCTCAAACCTGGAATGTATGCTACAATGCAGTAAATATTCGCAAGATCAGGGAATTAGAAATGAGGGCTCAAATCCTACATCTGTAAAAATCAGTGTGTGACTTTGGCACATCATTAACTTCTCTGAGCCTCAGCTGCCTTCACTGTCCCTGGAAATACCTAGTATCTCTTGTGGTTCCTAAACACGGCTTTGTAATACATGTTCAGTTTCTTCCCACCCATTCCCATTAAAGGTCTAAGAAGATACAGACGGGAAAATACAAGGTGTACTCTCGAATATTTTACCATTTTATTCCCTATGGGAATCTCAGGTACCAGGAGACAGTTAAAGGCAAAGAGCATAAAAACCACCACAGAACTCTGACTTACCCTTGAGGGCTCAGATCTAAAGAATCATCTCTGCTGTGCTGCAAGCTGGGGGATCCCACGTCAGCCGCAGCATTAGTGGCAGCCGTGGCTGTTCCACTGCTGACTGACGTCGTGGACCCCAAGGATCCTGACCCATTCGTACATGCCTTTGGTGGACTTGTCAACAAAGACTCTGATTCTGCTAAGTGTTTTACTTGATGCATTACACCTATACAGTAACAGATTTAAAAGAGTCAGTTTTAATTAGAACCACCTCCCACGATTACAAAATCCCTAAATGCTAAACAGGGAATGAATCAAAAGTATCCAGCGAATTGGGGGGGTAGGAGTGGGGGTGGAGGCCCTTAGGTGCCAGGGTTTTCAACTTGACCCATTCAAAAGAGTCGTAGGCAAATTCAACATTAAAGAAAGATATTGATATTGAAAGATAATTATTTTGAACATCATCTAATATTCAAAACCTGGTAACAGGAAGTTTTAATAGGGTCACACATAAATACCTAATGAAAATTCAGAATACCCATTATAAAAACAATCAACTACAAAAACACGAGAACGCACCTGTGGTTCGATCGCCACAAGTAAAGAAAGACCTGCTACGATTATTAACCAGCTTCAAATGTTACAATGAGACGAAAGTAACTGTGACGCTGCTGCCAAAAGAGAGAACACCAGCAACCCAAGGATGGGGATTTTCACATCCTTGGAGGTGTACAAGGAGAGCCGAACTGTAACTCATGAAGGCAGGGGTTCATATCTGGGCTAGAATCACAGGAGAATGTAGGTGGGGCGGAGGGGAGTGCCACGAACTATTAACTGTATGCAAAGGTGTATGTCTGAGTATATGAGCGCATGTTCACACATTCACGTTTTTTCCGGGATAGAGTCCAGAGTTTTCCATCAGATTCTTAAAGCAAACAAAAAAACCTCACAAGACCGCAAGATGTCTGAATGATCTCAAACTTCAGGCGTTGACTCCACAAATACTGTTTGCAGCAATCATATGCCAGACTGTGTGCAAGGTACTAAGAATATGACCATTGGTGAGAAAAATGGACTTAGGGCACTTACTGGGGAGAAAAAATAATTTTTATAAGAAATTGCAAATAGAGTAAACTGCTCCTCAGAGAGAAAATACAGTGCTGATGGAACACACAGCAGGAGGATCTAACACAGATTCTAGAAGGCAAGTCCTCAGGAAAAAAATGACAGGTGGAACTGGACAGAACAAATGCCAGATGCAAAGTAGCTGAACTAATCAAGCACACCGCCCCCCCCCCCAAACTTCATAATGTATACACTATATGACTATCTGGGGGGTAGAAAATTCAATTTGATGGCATAGTGTTCTTATACATGTAAAAAGAAAAAAAAAATCACTTTGAGAAAAAGACATACTCTCATAAGACTTCCAAATCAGAGGGCGGAATATATCCGAAAGGTAGAACTAAAGGCTAACACCAAAACCAAGATACAAAACAAATTATAAGATAATCCAAGGCTAAAAAAACCACATACCAAATGTTTATGTGAGCACAGAAACATCTATTCATACAGGCACTCCATTTGTAAACCACAGTTATGGAGTTTGCTTTCCACTTCAAATAAATATGTAGCACTGGAATTTTTTTGACTGTTTTTTAAACAAAACTAGTAAAAAATGGTGAAAGCCTCTTCCTATTTAATACTCTTACGCTAACAGGACTACAGCATTCTCAAGATGTGGAGAGATACAGAGCCAGCATCAGGTGATGAAAGAAGGGAAAACAGATCATTTGCAGAAAGAACTAGAATTGTTGGTAAGATGGAAGATGAAGCTAAGGATTAATTCAGTATAAAAACACCATGATCTCCTGTGTCCTCGCAACACCAAAGTATCTCTAAAAGACCAAAAGAATTACAGAGACCTGTTTATGAGAAAGAACTTCTTTTAATATCTTGGAATGCTTGAAAAGGAGAAAACACCTGAATGAGCAACAACAGTCTTTGAGGTCTTCAAAAAGAGAACAGACAAGTACCATCTCTCCTAGGCTGATTTCCACATTCAGATTCCTCAAATCAGGGGACCAGACCAGTTGCATACTAAAGATTTCAGTACATAAATAAATGAAGCCTAAAAATATTCCACTAGGCACACAACGAAGTAAATAATAATCCCTCTTACAAGTGTTCTGATCTACTAATGGGATTCACTGGGAAAGAAAGTGGCCTCTGACTTTCTCGAGGCGTCTTTATGGGAGCTGCACATTATCTACATGAAAGGAAATGTTAATGATTACTTCTGGGCCATAAACATTCAAATCATTACAACTTACTGTTTATCAACAGACTGTGAATCTCATACAACTTGTATCGACAGATTTTACAAAGGACACACCCTGTATGTATGTGAGCTGTAAGGATGGAGACTTCTCACGTAAGAGGTTGTTCGGAATTACAACTATACATGCTACTGCAATACTACGTAAACGAAAAGACTAGCCATTAATGAATGAGTATGGAGGACATTACCTTCTCTTCTGAAGTAAACACTAAAAATATCAGGTAACTTCTGCATTAAGATCTCTGCCATCTGAAGCGCTCCGACTACTATCTTCAGGTCTTGGCTTGACAGCATGGAAGCAATGTGACTAAAAAAAGAAAGCATTCATATATAAAACATCTGTCTGAATGTGAGAATTATTTTGGGCCATACTACTTTAACTCTGAGAGCAAAACATTTTAATTATGAAAACAGTCCACTACAACGACAAGTTTTTCTTAAACGCTCAACTTTTTCATTTGTTTTAGTCCTTCTCAAAGGTGTGTATGCATATAAAGAGACAAGGGGCTCCAGATACTACAAATAAACTGTTCTGTGCATATTTTTTTCTATGTTGTCACTTTTAAGGTTTCTGAAATTACTTGCAGAGACTTGAATTTCTAAAAAGTCTTCACTATTTTCATGAACACACCTTGAAACAGCATGATTTTTCAGGACATCCTTCAGAAGTTCAGCATCCGCAAAATAAATTATCCTAAGAATTGCTCTAAGGCACTTATGTCTGACCGCAGGTCCTGCCGAGGAACTATACACTTCATAAAGGACACCGAATAACGTCTTAATGAAAGCCTTAGCCAGTTCCGGATCCTCTTTCATAAGCTGTGCTCGAGCATCATCCTTCTTTAACTCGGAATATCCGCCTGTTGTAAAAAAACGGACAATCCTGAAGTGACAGACCTCAGAAACACAAGGAAGTAAACAACATAAAGCACGCAAGCTGCCGTGATTACCTGAAATGTTATTTTAAAAATTTGGTCATGTAACAAGTCAACTTATCTAATATGACTGACTAGGGTCTACAAAGATGCCACGAGCAGCGTTTAGACAAAATGTAGCCAGCTCAAAAGAACAAGCCACCAGCACACTGTACCTCTTATTTTAATAATATATACTTAACAAAACACTAAGGATGTTCAGTGTTAGCCACCTAAACCACTGGTAAGAAACAGAGTTCAAGTAATGGACAGAGGGTACGTGACTAGAAGCTACGGAAACACAAGATGATCTGTTGCTTTCCTTAGGGGGAATAAAGTACAGGGGAAAGGAAACTGATGAAAAGTAAGCTCTAGATGAGGGGCTGGCAAAGTCTGGTCCAAAGGCCCAATGTGGCCCAGCACCTATTTTTGTACAGCAAATCTTACCAGAACATAACCACGTGCGTTTGTTTACATATTGTATATGGCGGCTTTGGAGTCACAACAGCAGTGTTGAGTACAGGGACTGTGCTGTCCAAAAGGTTAAATATTTACTATCTGGCCCTTTCCAGAAAAAGTCTGCTGACCCCTGCATTCTAAACTAGAGCTGCAAAAGCAATAGATGGTATGTATCCCCAAGGACAAAGATAAATGTCAGAAACCTGAAAAAACAGTCAAATCATCTATTGGTCATTAGTTAAGAAGAGTACGTTCACGGGAAAGTATAATCTATAAGGTTGGAAAAACTAATCTGACAGGTGCAAGTGGATCTAGAGGTAAAAGAGGGAGAACAGGATCAGATAAAAAAACTGCATGGGCCAACTCTCGCTGGAATTCCGGAACACAGCAAACCACACAGCAGAAAAATAATGCGGAGGATACCATTTCGGCAATCCTGGCTTATTCCTCAATTAAAACACGGTAGAAACAACAAGAAATTAATTACTCCTATGCAGCTGTCTTCAGCTTAATAAAGACACTCAATGAAACAATCACTGCAAATATTATTCACATGACAGTATCGTACTACTATTAACTCGAAAGGTACTTACTAGTGTTAGTATTGGCTAAGGGGTTAGGTTTTCTCTGAATGGCACGTGCTGTTCCCGTGTCCTCATTGATTTGCTGCATAGAATTAAAATCAATAGTATAAACTCGTCCCAGAGTGGACAAGCTTATCTCATCCTCACCGACCTGATGGGCTGCCTGAGAGCAAAGAGAGAGAAACCTTGAATATAAACATGGAGAAATTTATTAACTTAAGACACAGTGGGGAACCTTCATAAACGCTAACTTACAGATTTATTTGATCAGGTTTCAGATGGTGAAGTCAAAGAATATGGAAAATTTAATAGTGTGGATGTGACAACACTCATTTATTCAATAAATCATTTTTAATTAAACACAAATATACACCACAGGCCCTTTAAGGCCCCTGGAGTCATAAATAAATACAGATAAATTCCTGATGAAAGATCCAGTCATGGAGAATCAGTGACATGAAGATGACACCATTTGTATTAAGGAAGCTTTTAAGACATTGCTGATAGAAAAAAAAAATCGTTATCCATAAAATCTTAGTATCTAATTTTTAGGTTAAAATGTTATTTACATCATGGATTCTTAGCAGCCCACCAAAATCTTCTTTAAACAATATGCTCCTATAAAATTACCCTTAGATCAAAAGGCTTTCCATTTACATCATGCTCTAAGATTGAAAGGGACACAACTGGACCTGAGAGAGCAATGCTTAGGCTGTGCATGCAGGCACTGTCCGAAAAGAAAATGACACGCTTTGACACTATGTGCTTGACATAAGACAGCCAAAAGAAGTGACAGAATATTCATTTTTGTAACAGTCCGATGTATGGAATTCCTAGGCTGAGTGGAAGACAGGCCTCCAGGGAAGTATAAGAGAGTAAGCAAACAGGGAAAATGCAATTAATAAGAAAATGCTAAAAGAAGGCGGCTTAGCACTGACCACGTTAGACCATGGCCTGCTTACACACTAAGAGAACACACAGTGGACCCATCACACCTAAAAGCTGACTCAAAACTTGGATGTTTTCAGAAGAACTTCTGATTTGGTAACAGTGGTTTCAAAGTTGGTTTTCAAAAATTTGTTTTTAAAAACTAACAGGTAGAAGACATCTTTAAAGAATGTCTCTTCAAGAGTGATGCTCTATAAAGATTCAAACATCACAGGTCAAAATTGGGAAAGATAGTATGACTTAAAGGTATCTCACACACTGAAAGTATTAGTAAATGATGCATGGTACCCCAATTAATGCTGTGACCAACAGTTCTTACACAGGGCGATTTTCCGGACCTGAAAATTTTTTGAAATATTCAATGCATACTTAACATGGAAGTAATGAAAAGAATAAAATCACACAAAAAAATCTTCACAGGAAAACACTAAATATTGTTGGTGCACCTCTCTCCTTTGTATTATTCCTTTTTCTATTATTTTGCTGAGCTCCCCAAAGAGCCACAAAATTTGATTATTACGTGGTCATTTATCATATCCCATTTTATGTCACTTAAAATTTATCCCAATGGATTACATACGAGGCTAGTATGTATCAAAACCTACTTAACCATTTCACCTAGACTTTGATATGTAAGTTGTTTCCATGTTTTCGCTCTTTGGTAAGTGCTGAGAAACAGCGATTTGTATGCAAATCTTTGCTTATGGGAGGTTTTCTTCTGGGTAGGAGACAGAAGGGACTTTTAAACATTTGGCCTAACTCCTCCAATGTTTCCTTTCAGAGATGAGGAAACTATGGAACAAAGAACTTAAATTACTTGCTCCAAGTCAATCTGGTAGTTAGCAGCAGAAGCAGGACTAGAACATCATGTTTTCTGACCTGAACAGAAATGAGGACCTTGTTCTCAGGAGACAAAATGAGAGAATCTTGAGTTAATTCAAAAGTGAGCACATTGAAGTACACACATCCACCTCCCCACTCCATCCCTACACCCACTCTCCACCAAAATAAACATCTTTAAACGGTACGATGAAACTACTACCTCAATGATCCGGCTGTCAATCCTGTTATAGGGATGCCAAAGGCCACGGTCGTCACGCCACTGCCATATTGCACCATCCGTGTTCTGCGCATTTCCCTTCTTCA